TGTCATTAAATTTTGTTATATATAAATACATTAATTAATCCATTGATTGTAGATGACGAGAATTTCTCTTTAGCATTTCTTTGGCTGGGCTGAACTGTCAATGACAACAATTTTCATCAGGTACACATACAACTATTAATCAATGCAAATGACAAAATTTCCCATTTTATTGCAATTGATGGAAATTCAGTTCTGAAGGCATCAAATAGTATTTCCTTCCTCCAGCCAATCATTGTACAGAAATTCATTGTTTCCTGTGAGCAGGTAACATGTGAAAGCTTTGATTTATCATCTGATAATGAAGTCCCAACTGATGGTATATCAGATAATTGACATGCAAACACACCAAGTATTTCATAAGCAGGTTGGTCACTAAAGATAACTTACTTTTATTGAAACTTCTGGTATCAAAATGAAGGAAACAAATCCTGATATTTTAACCATTTTCTTCAGCAATTTTGTTCATTCTATTTAAATCATATTAAAGTTAAAAAAAAAAAAAAAAAAGTTTTACTAATTATTCTGAAATTGAAGGTTGCTCCTCCTCCTACAATAAAAGTCATCAAGAAAACTTTATTTGACTCACATTGTTTTGTGCTATTTACTCAGATCATCTTGTCCTTAGGCAACATATTTCAGACATTAGAAGATTATTAATATTTGTCTCAGGGCCAATGAAAATATTTCATAATGATTCTTCTGTTTGTTTTTTCTTATTTGTTCCTCCCAAAGCTGACCTTTCATCCATTATCTCTGGTTATTGCTTCAAATGAGAACAAAAGCAGTAAAGCTTTCATTATGTTTTCCACGTAATGTTCACCTGTCTGTTTTCAGTACTCTTTAATAGTAGAAATAATAATCACTATTAATACCAGCAGAAGCAACACACATTGTATGACTGTATGTGGAAACTGCTTAAGTGATGACTATTCTACAAAGGAGTGCTGAAATGTTCTTGGCCCAACCCACTTCCCAAAATCTTATCAAATAGTTGAAGTTTTGGGTTTTTTTGTTTTATTTATAGCAAGAAATTTTCAGTGCTCCACTTTCTCCTAAAACAATTAGAGAATAACATTGTTATTTTATTTACTGATACCATTCTCTTGCAGATGGTAAAATTGAGAGGTTTTATTCAATAATTCATGATAATTCTATGTCAACATACTAGCTATTAAATTAATTCTACCAAATGAGCTATATCACAATTTTTTTTTTTTTTCCAAGCTGTACTATCTGGAATGACAATGATTATAACTAATCTTTGTGAATCCCTTTGTACTATTTAAATTTAAGTGATGTTGAAAGCCACAAATGAATTAGTTCTCTATGGTTGGAAAATTGAAAATAATTTGGATAGAAAGGGAAAAAAAAATGACCAACTAAATTCTGAACATGACCACTTTCTTAAAGGAGAGATAGATACTTGAACAACATGAACACCACTCTCTGAACATCAACTACCGTAATCCTTAGTGACAAGGATACTCAAGATGACTGGTAATGGTTTCAGTTGCAAGTTTTTCTTTTTATTATTCAGAGTTGTTGTTCTCTTAGACTGGTTGCCACTCAAAACTGAAGAGTCCAATCTGCCCTGATATTTAACCCACAGCTGGAGGAGTAGAGATGGATTCATACCTTTTACAAAAGTGAATTTAACAACCTCTAATGGAAAAACACACACACACACAGTCCTGCTTGCCTGATTACTGATAATCTTTTCATTTGTTGTATTTCCCCATAATTTTTTAATATACAATATTCTATTGCAATTGAATGCTGAAAACTTTTAGAACAGATAGATAAAAAAAAATAGTTAAAAACTGAAACAAATTTTTTTTAGTTCAGAATTTATTAGTGCAGAAAATAATCTAAGCAAATAGGTGGAGTAATGGTAAAGTCAGTGAGTAATGAGGTTCAAATGCAGCAAGAGCTGAAATAATTGTTTGATTCTCATGTCAGCTGCCAGGATTTGTTTTATCACTATATACATAGAGTGAATGGACATTTATATATATATATATATATATATATATATATATATATGTTCAATAGATTCAATACATGATATCTGTAATGTATAACCTCTGGGGAAAGTGCATTCCCAGAGTTGCAAAACAAGCACATTCTCTTTAGTATAATTTATTCAGTTATTTTAAACAGTAAAAGCTTTCAAATTACCATAATGCTACTCTGTAAAGCCAGGAAATGTGAGTTGACAAATTCACACAGGTAGCAAGTTTTGCTAATTGTGTTCGTTGTATGTGATTAAGATTAAAAATAACCTGTACAGGGTTCACAGCCAACTTTGAAATCAGGGAATAAAAAAAAAAATTGTCACTTAAGAAAAATCAGAGAACTTTGGTTTAATGTTAAGGAAATCAAGGCATTTTCTAAGGCAACTTGATATTCATCAAATAACATGTTTATTATATGTTTCTGTTCTTTTTCTTTTCTTTTTTTTTTCTTAAAAATTGTTGGTTCCAATTATATAAGAATGATTGTAAAAATATCCCCATCTCCAAATTTATAGACAAATCTTACAAAGGTGTGACAGTCTTCCTAACCAATAAAAATGGATCACTTCTTACTCTCATCAACCATATTTTTGTTCTTTCTTGTCTTTAAGTCAGAATGCAATTCTTTTTCCCTGTTCTTTTTCTTTTCTTATTGTTTATTGAGAACATTATCAGTTCTTTTTGTTGAGCATTTTACTGATTACACTTAACCATTACCAATTACTCTACAAAAATAAATGCTAAATGTTATTGATGTGATGAATATTTATTTTCCAAGATAAATTTGAATAAAAGTGTGTGCTTCTTTGTCCATTCATCTTTTTACCTGTGCTCTGGCATATCTATATACTTACTACTGTCTGTTATGCAGTGTCCCAAAATGAGAGAATTTCAGTTGAATTTTTCAAAAAAAAACAGAATTTTATTCAGCAATTAGCCTGGGAACACATTGCTGGTCTTTTTTTATATATATATATATATATACACTTATTTTATTTAGTTTTTTTTTTTTTTTTTTTCTCTCTCTCTTTCATGACTCACCACAGGTTCCTTTTCTTTATTTATGAATCACCATGACTTCTTGGGAAAGATATCAGATAAGTTTACCATTGCTTTTTCCACTGTGTGGAATTCAGTTTTCTTTCTCTTAGACTGGTTGCCACCTTAAGCTAGAGATCTCACTCTACTCTACTATTAAATGCTGAGTTGTGAGGAAAAGAGACAGCTTGATACCTTTCCAAAGGCATTTATGTGAAAGGGACCACAACAGACTGGCCCAGAAGTTGAACCCTGCTATCCATGCTGATAACCATTACATTACCCACACATCCATATTATACATTAGCATGTGAGATTAAATCAGCAAATTTTGTAATGCAACTATTGATACCTGCTTTTTTGTTTCTTTTTATTAAAAATTGTTTGAAAATAAATGCTAAATGTTATTGATGTGATATATATTAGTTTTCTAAGATAAATTTGAATAAAAGTAAGTTTCTTTATCCATTCATCTTTTTATCTGTGCTTTGGCACAGCTATGTATACTTACTACTCTCTGCTATGTAATATCCCAAGTTTCTTATAAAGATTGTGGAAAATAATTCCAACCACCACAACAGAATACACCTTAATAATAATAAAAATCTATCTTTCTCCTTTGTTAAAATATCAGGTCATCCTATTGATAGGATGGAAGAAGTCTTATATATATATATATATATATATATATATAAAATGTTTGAGGTTAATATATATACATACACACGCACCCGGTGTTTGTGTATTTGAATATGTAGAGTTTGTGGTGTCTTACAGGTCACGTTTGCGTTAAGTTTCTTTTTTCTGGGGCAAAGGATATGTTAGTAGAGGCACAGGTTTGTCTATTCCTTGATACTTTCACTGTTTTCATAGCTGTTATGACTTCTTGTTCATTTATTGGGAAATTTGGATGAGAATGAACCTTGGAACAATGTGATGCTCTCTTTTTAAAAGAAACAAAGAAAACAATTGATTGCTTAAAATATTTCTTTCTATATGGCAAGCACTTGATAAATCTGATTGGTTGCACCCAAATGACGGTCTGCTTTTATAGACCCACTAATGTAGTTTATATTGATTGTACATTGTTCTGGCAATATTTAAACTGTAAAACCCAAAAATGAAAATCTATGACAGTCATTATTCCTAAATTTTCTCTTAAGTATTGATGATTTAAATCTTTCTTGCACTGTCTTTTTTTTTTTTTTTCCAAAAGACCCCCCACCCCACCCCGATCTAATAACACCATATTTTTTGTCTACTATCTAAAATCTTCAAAGTACAGTGGGGTAATGTTTAGTGAATTGGATTGAGGAATTGGAGAGCCTAGTTTGACTTTGTCAAGTTTGTTACATTCACTAATGTACAAATACCTTTGGGAAAGATATGAATTCATCTTTTCCCCTGCCCCACAGTTATGAGTAAATAACAGGACAGATGGGGTCCTATAGTCTTGGGGTGGAGGGGTAATGGATAGTGGCTTGGATTGAAGAATTGGAGAGCTGAGTTTTAATTTCAGCCAAAATCATTACATTCACTTACATGAAAATACCCTTGGGAAACGTATAAATCTATCTCTTCTCCCCCTGAACTAGATAAATAGCAGGACAGGCTGGGTTCTATAGCCTTGAGTGGCAACCAGTCTCAGAGAAGGGCAACTCTGAATTCAAAACTGGATTGGTCACTGACTAAACCAGCTCTCCCACTTGACCTTGGTTTGGTGAGGAAGGTAAGCGGGATTCAGCAGCACAAAAACAACAGCTATTAAAGGGTGGATGAACTCTGTCTGTGGCCATCCACTCCAACTATGGGTTAAATAGCCTCACCAACCTTCAGTTGGCCAAGTGAGGTGAGTATGACTAGACCCCTGAAGACATGGTCAATCAGGGAGGGGCTCCTCCAACAGGAGTTAGAAGGCTCTGGATTTTGATATGGACCGAAAGTTTTACAGCCATACCACATTAAAATACTGGATCTTGTATGATCACCAAAGTTAAGCCATGTCAAGTCTGGTTAGTACCTAGATAGGTGACTGCTTGGGAATACCAGGTGCTGTAAGCTTGGATGTATAGTTGCTGTAATGTATAACAACTTGAATAGGTAACTGGAGAGCCAAACGATTTCCAATTGTTGGATTTGTTATATTCACTTATATGGAAATACCTTTGGGAAAGTCTTCATCCTCCCACCACTAAAGTCTTTTGCTAAATCTTGAATCCTACCTTCTTCTATTACCAATCATTTTACTCATGATTTTTTTACCACTCCACCATAATGACTGATTGAAAATAGGATGAGGTCAGTGCTGTACAAGTGGGACTTTAATCAAATAAGAATTAATATCAGATTTAGTCATAACATTACTTGCTCAGCCAAAATGAGTGATTAATTAATACTTATATATATCGTTAAATTTAGCAATCAGTGGTATTAGAATGCTACAGTTCTTAACACCTGTCACTTTCATTTCCTTTAGCAAAGTGAATCATCATTATGATTGCTTTTTAATGTGACTTTTAAGCAAATACAAATATTGAAGTGCTTCATCAACATTTCAAAATGTCCACATTTTATAATCAAGAAATGTACTTAGATGATTTCATGGATATTAAAAAGGAAACATAAATAAATATTGGGTACTCTTATATACTGTTTTTAGTTTGGCTTCTGAGCTATCAATCTATGTTAATAACACCTAAAATAAATCATCTACAAACTATATCTATAAAAGATATGTTGACCCTGAAAGTATAAAATTGTGTACAAAATACAGTTCAGCATTAAATAATGGCTAGAGATTGATATACTGTTAAACTAAAAAACCAAACCAAACATGTTAAGCAACTAAGCATGTGAGCACAAGAAGTGCTTTGTTAAGGAGACAATTTAACATCTTTTTTTGTGTGTGTGTAAATAATCATGTAGCTGTCACCAGCAAGCCAAGTTCAAATTCCAGCCAATAATGTTATGTTCGCTTTTCCACAAATGCCTATGGGAAGAGTATAAATATATCTATTCTCGAAGCTATAGGTTAAATAGCAGAATAGACTGGACTCTCTAGCTTTAGGTGGCAACCAGTCTGAGAAGGAAAACAATTGAATTCCAAAGCATGGTGTAAGCAATGAGAAACCACTCCACTATCTTTCCTAAGAATGGATGGCAATTCATAGATAAGGAAACATATGTGGGGAGCCATGATCACACATGTCCCAAAGATATATGCCATTTTTAAAATCTTAAAGTTACATGTATGTATATTTTTAAAAATTTTCTGTTATGACTTTTGCGAAACCCCTTTCCTAAAAAGATAGTAATCATATCAACAATTTCTCCAGTTATCAATTCAAATTAAACAGAAAACTGATTGACTTATACCAACAGTGAATCAGCTTTTATTATAAAATTTGTTTCATCTTATAAGTCACATATTTCAGTGTTTAAGGATATTGAAAAAAAACATTTAGTTATTCTGTCTTAGACATTTTATTTTTATTTTTTTTAAGTAAGCTTTCAAAAGGAGATAAAAACAAAAAACTATATTTACATTTTTGGCTACTATCCTCATTTTTATTAGCACAATGTTTCAACCAGTGTTTCCTCCTTCCTTTGTCAAGTGTCTGTTGATTCATATAATCTTCAAGGAATTTCAAACTGAGCCCTTTATCCTTTATCCTTACAGCCACATGTTGAAACACCAGTTCCTGTCTGATCACCAAAATTAACCAACATCAAGCTTGGTCAGTACCTAGACTAGATGGTTGACCAATTGGGAATACCAGGTGTTGTTGTAAGCTTGGATGTGTGTGTGATGTAATGGTTAATAGCTCAGAATTGTTAATTGGAGAGCTAATTCCCATTTGGGTCATTATATTCACTTAGGCGCAAATACTTTGTGAAAGATATGAATCCACATCTTCTTCCCCATCTATGGGTTAATTAGTAAAACTTGTATTGCTAAAACCATTATTTCCCTTCCCAAAATACAAATAAAATTGTAATAAAATATTTAGATTTCATCATTCAATTGCAAACTAAATACTTTATTGAAATAAAAAGTTCAGCTTGAAACATTTTTAGTTGATATCCCTGTCTTTTGTTTTCTTAAACAGTGAAATTAATATCAACTAGTCTAGATCAAAAAGTCTTGCTAAAGTACCTTCTGATAGTAATCGAACCCATATTCTCTTTTTTCCACTAAGGAAATCAATCCTATCACTAAAACATGTCATTACTAATTTGGTCATGAGAAATAGTCCTAATAAAGCAAGGCTCAATTACCTACTTTAAGAAATGCACACCTCTCATTGAGACTTCTTCAAATCTCTAACTGTGAAAGGTGTGTGTAAGAGAATATGATATATGAATTTTCATATATCATGACAATGTTAGGCAAATGATAACAAAGTAGAAAAAAAAATTCTGTGTCCGTGCATTTCATCCTCTAGAACTTAATATGACTAATATAATCCCATCAACAAAAATATTACTTATGTGTATGAGAGGTAGATATAAAAATGCAAGTGTCTGTTACAATTATGTACTGAGAAAAATCCCTGAAAGATGCAGGAACACTGAAATCTAAAATTTAAATCTCCCTTCCACCCCTCCCAAAAGAAATATGTCCAAATATGCAGTCTAGCAAATCTCATTCAGTTTCTCTCTGTTTTTGTTTTTATCGCTTTTGTTATCAATTATCCCACATTATGATAACAGAAGATCTCCTAAGAAAGGTGAAATGTTGTAAGAACCTGAAGACAGATTTGCCATGGATGATCTACCAATTATATATATATATATATATATATATATATATATATATATATGAGAGAGAGTTGTTAGGCATGCAGATCTAACCAAGAATATAGTTTATCTGTCATATGCCTGGTACTTATGAAATTGAATTATCTAAAGAGTTATCATTAGGAGACATGGGGGCTAAAACAAGGCAGAAGTGCGCTCTCTATCTCTCTCTCTCTCTCTCTATATATATATATATATATATATATATATATATATATATATAGTGTGTGGGGGTCTTGTAGATTGTGGGTGAGTAGTTGTTTTTTATTGTACTTTACTCTCATAAATGAGATGTCTACTCAAGGAGGTGGTAGTTGAATGCTTCCAGTGAAAAGTGTATGAACTTACTAACCTTTTGTTTTTCCATAACTAACGCATTCTGACAAGTCTTAAGGGACATCGACACCAAAACGAGACAGTAGCAATTGTCATATATGCAGGGTGCAATGGTATGTTTGAATAACACAAAAACAAAAATAATACTGACATCTCATTTTAACAGACATATTTACTAAAATTATACAAAATATCTTGAAATACTAAAGAATAAATTTATTCAATGAAATTGCCATTGGCTTCAACTACAGCCTCCAGATGACTTCAGAATCTCCTGCAACTCTCCTGGATAGCCTCCTTGTTTAAGTTGGTGAATCCTGCTATAATCATTGAATTCAGTTCATCTTTGGTTTTACAGCTGCAGTCTGGCGGGGTGGGGGGTAGGTGGCCATATGTAAGAATTGATGTTGTTGCAGAAATTGTCTGACACCCATGACTGGGTTCTCTTGCTTGTGTAGCATAATGCAGATTCCTGTTGCCAGACTCTTGATCAAGGGCAGCATTACCTCCTCAAGGCACTTGATCTAGGTTTCCATATTGAGTCTGACACTCTAGTGGGAAGATGAATGTAGGCATAATGTTACCATCACTCGTGATCACTCCAAACACCATGATGTTGACTGGATATATCATCCAGCTCTTTCCAAATCCTCTGCACTGTCCACAGATTGACACCAAACACTCTGAAATGTTGGTATTGGAGCTTCTGGTGTGAATGCCAAGCAGTACAGCATGCTGTTTCCAAATTTCTGGTGGAGTAAATTGCATTATGGTGCTCTTTTTCTAACAGATGGTGCCCAACTGACTCTACTCTACGGTTCAGTTGACAAAATTAAAAACAAACAACACAGATGTGCAAAATTAAAAAATATAAGATGGCTACAATTTACCCATCACACCCTGTATATAATGGATGCTTCCAATGAAATGTGAATGAACTTAGCAAGCTTTCCTTTTTCTATAACTAATAAAATTCTGACAATTCAAATAAGTGATATAAAGAAGAAGGTCCTAATTTCAAACCAAAGTCTGTTACTTGGAAAATTTGCAATATATTCTTCCTGGCATAACTATTAACATTTATTTATACTTTTCTTGTGTATCTATATTTCAAATTAACATTCAGAACAAATAATAAACCTATCACCCCCACCCACCCCATGCCACATAACACATGCCATTTAATGGTGTGAATGCTACATTGATGGAGAAATTTCTTACATAAATTCTGTCGTATGCTCATCTTTGCTACTTTTGCCCTCACTCTTCTTGCTATTCCAGTTGTTCTCACCATTTGGTCATTTACTTCTAACTTAAAAAGAAAAAAATCTCAAAACTTTGTGAAAACACATTTACCTATTTTTTTAAATTTTGTTTTTAATTATGACCATGGACATGCATATACATACACAAACATTGAGTATAATTATCTATGTAAATGATAAAACACTCATAAACTCAAATATATATATATATATATATATATATATATATATATATATATATATATATATATATATATAATTACCTTTTCTTCCCTCCCCACACACAAATCTGGGTCAGGTAACAAAGGCTTGGTGCTTTTTTTTTTTTTTTTTGCTCTTAGTAGTGTTTGTATTCAGTGTTATACCTGTGACAAGTAATGGGTAATGCTTCAACCCTACTTCCCTCACCTCACTACTACTACTACTGCTACAAGTGAGATAAAACTCTCCAGAGACTTAACAAACTGTTAGTTTTCACTTTAACGTTACAGGTCAGACTGTCTATACTCGTACAACTAAGTATTATTTACTGCAATTCTTCAGCCTTGCTTAACCTCAGTCCATCTCAAGACTGTGGGCCTCTGTGTATTATATGCCGCTAATTGCGCTTCAAATCACTATGATGGAATTAAGTTCCAGAAGACCTCATCATCGGATT